TGAGAAGGGAGAAAATGGCCCAACGGCCCAACTGGAAGTTCAGGAACAAACTTCCGTTTGGCCCATTTGGACTGATTTTCACCCTCTCTAGGCTCCAGAGATTTTCCTGAAGCTTGGGGAGGGTGAAAATGCCTTCCCCTGACCTGCCAGAAGGCCAAAAATCAGCTAGCTGATGCCCACATACACACCAGAGCTGAGGGCTGCCAAGCTCTGCCATGGCAGCAAATATGGCTCCATGTGCCACCTGTGGCACCCGTGCAGTGCTAGGTTTCAAAAATTTTTAGAACCTTTTCTGTAGGTGTGGCCTGCTTTGTGAGAGTGGCTTGCTGGCCATGTGACCAGGTGGGCAGGGCCAACTTGTAAAATGTGGTGAAACTCACTTAACAATGTTCTTGCTTAACAACCAAAATGTTGGCTCAGAAACTCTGGTATTTGAAGCATGTGAGTCTTAAAGCTGTCAAGATACAAGACCCTTGCACCCCTAACCCTTTAGAAAAATAACCCCAGGGATTTCAAACTTGACAGCTTTAAGACTTTACAGTTTAGATAGGACTCTTAGAGGTGGGCAGGGTGTTTGGTGAGCCAGCCAATCAGTGAGCGGTGGGCGGGGCAAGTGTGATGCGGACAGAGATTATTGAAATCTCTGTCCGGGCGGGGGGAGGGAGCTGGAACCAGTTCTAAACAGCACTGTAGATTTGTGGAACCTCTTCTATAGAAGAGGTTAGAACTTGCAGGAAGCCACCCCTGCACCCGTGCCATAGGTTCGCCATCATGGGGTTAGAACAATGGATTATTGTAGCTATTGTGTTAATTAAATAGTGAGCATTTCCTAGTTGCAGAATGTAGCTCTGCTGATGCCCTTGGCTTCTATAACAGGGTCTACCAAAATAGTTATCTCTGCTAGGAATTCCCTCAAATGATTCATTAAGTCAGAAGGGATCTCAAATTTTTTAACCCAAGCCTCTACTTCAGGCAGGGGATGCCGAAGCATTTCAGACAGATGGCTGTCCTTTGAACATGTTTTTAATGTGCTTTTTAGACTGAGATTTCCTGTAAGGAACAATTTAAAGAACTAGGTATGTTTATTTAGCAGAAGAAAAGACTGAAAGAATTATGATAGGTGTTAGATTGGGTAATGGTTAGGCACACTCAGGCTTAACAATAACAACAGCTCTTTATTGAATACAACAAGTGAGAACAATCCAGCGAAGGTTGAGTCTGACAGCAGCCCTTTTATAGGGAGCTGTCAGACCCTTTGACCAATACGATTAGGATCTTTGATAGAAACCACTGTAGTTAGAACTGATATCTAACAATAGGCATATCCTTATATCTAAAGGGTTGCCGTATACCGTGGATTGTTTCCTGTTGCATCATAGAACGGACCAGTAGTGTGAAATTCAGGTTAGACCAGTGATTTCCAACATGGAGCCCAGGCCCCACAGGGGGGAAATTTGATTTTTAATGGGGGAAATTTGAAAACCTTGTTTATACCAAGTTACTGGCCTTTTAGGCTTCCTCCACATGAATACAACTCACTTTTTGAGTAAATTAAGAATTATATGTCAAGGGGAAGAGGGGGCATCAGGATTTTAGGGATGCTTAGGTAGGGCATGGCCAAAAAATGGTTGGGAATCACTGAGTTAGACATTAGGAAGAATTTCCTGATAATGAAAGCAACCAGTAGAACAGTGGTCTCATGAAGGAATACGTTCCTGTTCAGAGAATGTTGTTCTCTTTTGTTCAGAATGCTAAAGCTGTTGCTTTGACATACAAATTCAGTACTTCTACTTAAAAAAAAACTCTACAAAAATAAGAATTTTGATCATCTAAGAAAACTTAGACAAATTAGAGGGCACACCTAGGATGACTAAATGGAGGAATGAGTGGATGAAAGAGGAAGGGAGGGAGGGAGAGAGGAAGTTCTTCAGAATTTATTTATAAAATTAACCTAATATAAATTTTAGGTTTACATCTGAAATGAAAAATCTGACAAAATGCATGAACTAAGGATATCATTTTCTTCATACATTTGAGAGGCCCGTAGGTTCTAAAATAAGGTGCTGCTTGTCTGTTGAAGATTGTGCTCCTTTTAATATATTAAATTATGTATGCATCAATGTAATACCAGTCTCCATATTAAAATAGTTCCCTTAGGCTGAAACCTCTCCAAGTTCTTAAAGCTTTCCAAGTTTCTTTCCTACTTTTTTTTTAAAAAAAAATTGAACAGTTTTGAAAATTTCGGTATTGGCATGCTTCTTTCAAAAATTAAGCAGATCAAAACATCCTCTACTACAGTATTTAGCATAGAGAAATACATTGTTATATTTAAATATAAAATATTAAGTTATATTGGGTTGATAGAGAAAATCAGGGCTTCACCTTTTCTGAAAAATGTTGAATAATGCTGCAATTTATTTTAATATCTGTTTCTGAGCTTGAAGTAACATCTTATGCTCTTATGTTTGAGAAAGGAGTATTAAGTATGCTCACTGCCTTGAATTATTTATAAAAGTAATAATGGCAGAATAAAAATTATGATTTTGAGGGAATTTATAGTATTTACCATGCTTTAGGATAAACTGTAAAAGGAAAACTGCTTGAGACAAAGTGTTTATTGATCAAATAAATTCTGCATAGGCAAGATACTGAAAACTATTGGATCTATATGAAGTTGTAGCATAAAGAAATGACATTTTATTTCAAGAGCCAAGATAAAAAGGGAGATTTGAAAAGGTACCTATTGAAAATGTGATGCAAAGTATTTATCTCTGTAAATCATATACAAATAACTTTTCATTGATTGCAAGGTAGCAAACCAAAGAGGATGCAATTTCTACCAGTTTTTCAGAATATATTAATTGTCTCTAGTGAAAAGCATATGTGAGTATGCTGTATTTTATTTTTCAATAATCTCTCTGGTGATTTACACTTTCTCACATTTTTTATAGAATCCCAAGAGCTCACCAAGAACTTCTACCCAAGTGCTTTTTCAAATGGGGTGGGGGACCAACAAAGGATTGATTGATTTAAAGAGATTTGTGTTAATGGATGTTTTGTAAAACACAACAATAAGAAAATAAAGGAAACCAAGAGAAGCAGGCTACTTATCCACCATCTCCAGCCCATCAATCCATACAATCCTTTCACCCCAATTTTAACATATCCCAACGTCTGACATAGCTAAAGGGAAAGCCAGTCGTGTGTTGGCTTTCTGAAAGACCCAAAGGATGGGCGCCTGCCAGATCACAGTAAAAAGTGCTACTGTTCATCCGAACCGGTAGTAAAAAAAAATACTTAACAAAGTAAAAAAAAAAAGTTTTGACGATCAGCTGCGCTGCGCGATGGTAGGAAGTTTTTTTTAACTTTTTTTAAGCATTTGGGGTCTGTTTTTGCTCCTAGGAGGCTTCCCTGATGCCTTCTAGGCAAAAATGGGGGGGGGTGCTGTGAAAGAAAGAAAGAAAGAAAGAAAGAAAGGGAGAGAGGAAGGGAGGAGAGAAAGAAAAAAGAAAGAAAAAGAAAGAAGAGAGGGAAGGAGGGAGAGAGGGAGGGAAAAAGGAGAGGGAGAAATGACCACAAACCTGGCACTAGACACAACTTTAGAGGATACTTTGAAAGAGCACAGCAATCCAAGTCTGGAAGGGACCCAGAGGTCATCTAATTCAGCCCCTTTGCTTCAGCAGAACATTGTTAAAGTGAGTTTCTGTCTTTTGAGCCTCCAGTCACATGTGTACATAGCCACGCCCACCCAGTCACATGTCCGCCACCAAGCCATGCCCACAGAATTGGTAAAAAAAATTAGATTTCACCACTGCATGTAGGACTTTAAACATAATAACTAGCATCTAGAAATATATCCAGAAAGAAACTGGGAGCAGTGTAGTTTGGACAGCAGCAGTCCCACCTGGGAAAACTGAGGGGTGCCTAGCACTCTTTAAGCTTCCACATTCTTGAACAATTGTAACTTCTAGATGGTCCTCATGGGCTGCCCCATATAAAGTGATCCACATTAGTCTAACCAGGAAATGACCAAAGTGTGAGTGACTGTGTACAATACCTTTTTATTCAGGAATTGGTGCAATTGGCATATAAGATTCACTTGGGCAAAAGCCATGATTGCCAGTTGCTCCTAGAGCAGGAGCTGTGAGTCCAGGAGAACTGCCAAGTTGTGTACCAGCTCTATCTGGAGAGTGCTATGATTTTAAGAGTAAAAGATAACACATCACTGGAACTGGGTGGGAGGACCAAAAGCATTGATGTTGCAGAACAATAAATAGAAGTGCAACCCCAATTTGCATACCCTATTAACTTAAAACAATAACATTTAAAAGTACCATTAAAAGTGGGGAGGGGGGAGTAAAAAGAAGCCTATTTCTGTGCCAAACAAAACAGCAAGAAATCTCTACATTGTAGCAATCTGATGTGGAAATGGAAGTAACTTTTTTGGGGGGGGGCGGAATGTATAGAATAAAATATAAAATAGTAAGAAGAAAATGTTAAAGAAAGTAATTTCTGTAAGTTGTCAGAGTTTGGGTCACTGAGAAACCTTGGAAGATATAAAAGAAAGCCTTTTGCAAAATAATCTGATATTAGTTAAATTTTCTTGGATAATACAGGTTTTTTAAAAGAACAAATTCTGGAAAGAAAAATTCAGTAAAACTGGCTCAACTTTCTGAATAGTAGAAAGCCTAGAAAATACATGAACCTTGCATCATCTTTTTGCCGAGTCAGGATAATTTATGCCAGTCAATTAACAGCATCTTTCTTAAGCATTTCCTTGCCGTGAAACCAGCTGTGTGAGAAGATACCAAATATCACCACTGAAGCAATGATAGATCAATTTTATGTTTCTTTGGTTTAAAAATCTTTGGCAGCTAAAGGGCCTGGTATGGCTCACTAGCTCACAGTTTAAATAATTATATGGTCTTAATAAGTATTAGCTGCTCATTTTTTTGTTATCTAAAATAATCATGTCTTTTCTCTTTATCCTCAAATGGAGTAACAAACCTCCTATATTTGAAAATGCTGAATTTAAAGGTCTTATTCGCAAACTAAGAATCCTTTGGTATTCGAGAGAAATAAAATGTCCTTTTCTCTATGGAGCTGGCTATGACCAGGTTATATAGTGGAAATCTCACCAAAATAGATGACCCCAAAAGATGACATGGTGGATGTGGATTAAGGAGACTTTGGATCTGGAGACTTCCAGTTGACGTTGCAGCACTATTGTGAACTCAAACAAATCCCTTTGTTGGAGGGCCCCATAAGGGGTTAAAGTCACCCTGTAAGGCTGATGAAGAGTAGAGGAGTTTTGAAGATCATGGAGAGTGGTGGCTCTCCTGCTTGACCCAAGGCTAATTCCGTCTCATCCGACGATGAAGAAGAGAGGCAGCCATAATGGCTCCCATGAAGCTGAGGCAACTGAAGAAACAAAGAATATGCTGGTGCAGTGTGGATGAACAGTGACTGGAACTGGGTCAGGTGATTCTTTTTCTTTTTTTTAACCTAAAACCTATCCTAAAGAAAATAAATTCTGAAAAGGAGACTCTTTGAAAAGTTTATTTAAGCTTTAGAGATGGAAGAAATTCTTAGGTTAAACAGGAAAGTTGTAGACAGAGATAAAGACCCAAAGGAGGAATTTGGGAGGCAAGTCAAAAAAAGAATAAGATTTGAAATATTAAAACGGGCAAGAGGTAATGAATAGAGGAAATGTTTTGTAACACAAGATTGACTTTACTAGGAGCTAGAACAGGGGCAGAAACAAGAAATAGGGGGAATATTATATTTTTATATAATATACTAAAAGTAATAGCTAGATGTAAAGATTAGATGTTGAAAGATATTGATACTATGTATGTTTTAACGATATGGCCTATATTATATGTATAATAACATTACAATTACATAAGTATGATTTAAGTATCAAATATTATTAATACTACCATTACTACTTGTATCCAAATGTATGATACCCAGATGCCTCACTGTTCATATATTGATATTGATGTATATTAAAAAAGAAAAACATTATGAAAAGACTTTGGATCCACAATCTCTGGCCTTAGAATCCATCACTGGAGATGATATTATTCTTTTTCCTCTCAGGGAATGGGAAAACCACCTTAGCTGTCAAAGTCATTAAATTCACACTTTTGCTGGTTAATGCTGAGCAAATTAAGCAGTCTTCCTTCCTTCCTTGCGGTTGCTGCCCTTCTATGGAATAAATCTTTAATTCTTACTGTATTTTAACAGTTTTCTTTTGTTTATTTTCATGGTTGTTTACTATTAACTGTTACTATGTTTTCATGAATCGTGCTGCTAAGGTGTTTATGTTTCTGGTTGCATGTGTGAATTTGCTTGTGGGTTTCAAATATTTGCTGGAACTACTGTACAATCAGAATAATAGAATAACATTCTAGTCCACCCCAGCTGCTCAAGCAGGAAGCTCTGTGCCATTTCTGAAAACTGGTTGTCCAATCTCTTCTTAAAAGCCTCCAGTACTGGAGAACCCACAACTTCTGGGGGCAAACTGTTCCACTGATAATTGTTCTGACTGTCAGGAAATTTCTCCTTAGTTTTAGGTTGGTTCTCTCTCCTTGATTAGTTTCCATCCATTGTTTCTTGTCTTACCTTCTGGTGCTTTGGAAAATAGGTTGACCAGCCCCCTCTTCCTTGTGGCAGCCCCTCAAATACTTGAATCTACTACTTCTTACTAAGAATTGAGTCTATTTTAATATTTTTTCCCGTGTTAATTATTTTATTACACATTCATTTTACATAGTACAAATGGATCGTAAAGAACTTTGGGTACTTTAGTAAAGACTCAATTTTTTTCTCACCATACATCTGTTTTGGCTCACTTCCAGCACCACTACTTTAGACACTGACAAAGTAGTCATCCTCACAAAAATCTGTAAGAAAAGTAATTTATCATGTAGCTTTCTGTAAATACTTGTACTTTAGTGTGTACCCCTTCTCAGGTGCATGCATTTTGCCAACAACATTGTACTGAATGCTTGGTGCAAAACAGATATAAAATGCGGACTGCACAATTTCTGCTGCAACATATACAGAACAACATACACAATCTAGCCATAAAAGCTCTACTTATAGTAGGAGAGATCTTTGACTTGATCTGTATAAAGATACAGAAAGAGAGAGTAACAAATATTGATAGTAGTATTCTGATGCGTCTCTGCATTGCAGCAGTGTGAATAAATCATAATTTCTTTACAATCAGCAGGTACTAATTAACATTAATTCTACATTAGAACAGGATTCTAATGTAGTAATATACATCATGAGCAGATAAATGTCACAAGGACTCCTACTGATGGTGAAGCAGCTAAAAATTTCAAGAAAATAATAATGGCTTGTCATGGTTGTATGAAAAATCACATCAAGAATCAGTGGAGTTTTATGAATTAGCTTTCTATATTCCTTTTTTTAACAGTGGCAATTTCCTAGTTCAGCTAGATCCTAGTTTTCCCTGTTTTTGTAAGTAGAGATTTCCTCTCCCTCATCCATACATTTTTGTTTATATACCGGAGAATTTTTTGGGGGAATAGCCATGGCTAATAGTTAAATAAATGTAATTGATTCTATTTTTACCTGCACCTCACGTACCTGCTTTGCAGACATTTAAAGGAAGTCAGTGATGAATGTGAGTAAAAGATATGGAAAGTTTCATTATTTTTCTGTGCCTGCTCCTATCAAAGAAAACAAGCCGCCATAAATAGCAAACAAGAGATTTTATCTCTGGATTGAAAAAGCAACACCCCAGGAGGATTAGTCAATTGCCATCCAAGTGACTTCTTGTGCAGTGATTAAAAAAACAGCCATTTATCTTTTCAAACCATGATCTCATTTAGTTCTATGTGGATTTGCTCAAAACCTTGCAGTAAAGCACAGGATTTTCAACAGTTAAATCAGTCACTTGTCCCAAAGAGAGACTTGGAAACCCTAACAAAAGACCACCAAGAAACAAAAACAAACAAACAAACAAACTCTGAGCTATCTGTCAAGGAGAACATAGTACACTTTAGGAAGCTTCATAAGATTCTAGACAAGGATGGCTGCCTGGGGAATTCTGGGAATTGAAGTCCACAGGGCTTAAATTGTCCAACATTGGACATTCCTGGTTTAGACAATTTCCTGTTCTTCTTGAGCCTTATCCATCATTGGATGTTGGCTATCATGTTGGCGATCCTATTTTTACCAACAGCTGCACGAAAAACTGCTGCTGAGCTTTGTCCAAACCAGTCCCTTAGATTTTGAAGCCATGATGTTCTTCGTCATGGACCTCGTTTGCCTTCTTTCCTTGGAGGATTAAGTGAAGTATGCCGTATTTTTCTGAGTGTCCCATCACATATCCAAACTTTTACTTTTTAATGGTTTTGATGATTTCCCTTGGCTTTCCTATGTGGCTTATCACCTCCGCATTTCTGATTTTGTCAACTAAACTTATATGCAAAAGCTGCCTGTAAATCCACATTTCAAATTAGAGTCAATTTCTCCCTATCCAGGTTGTACAACTTCCAGGCACTGGAACAGAACTCCCATAATCTTATTTGAAAAAAATAACTTTATTTTTTCTCCTCTTCCTAATTTTCCCCATATAGTTCCCCTTTCCCCTTATTTGGTGCAGGCAAGTGTCTGTGACATGTATGTCTATAAAGTAAGTGTGTGTGTGTAAAATTTCTGTATTCAGCATATGATATTCAGTTATGTTTATGAAGCAGTTTTTAGTATGCTATAACAGAATTTAGCTTCTTTTTGCCATCTGCTTGTTAAAGATAAGGTTCTTCATTCATGTTAATTCAGCAATTTTATAAAACAATTGTGATACTTCTGTAATGACATTAAATTACCAATTTTAATACAAGTGGGAAAATTATTTTCAGTAATACCGAGTATATTATATGCCACTATCAGGGATACAGAAAATCATAATGTAGTGTAAAATTAACCAAATTCTGTTATATGGTAAAGAATTACTTAGTACTTTTTTTCTTAGTATAGAGATTATCCTGTGTATTTATAAGAAAAAATGCCCAAAGTTTGTGGGCCATTTTAGTAACTTTTATAGGAAAAATGACTGCCACATATGCATGGTTATTGTAATAATAATCATTCACTTGGGGAACATGTAAACGTTATAGGATGTATTAAATTTTAGTAATAGCACAGTGGTAAAAACATGGAGCAGTTGCTGCAGATAGTAGCCTAATAAAAAAGCCATCTCGAGGTTGTAGGGTCATGCTGTATGGAATCTGAGATAACAAATTGCAAACTCTCTCCCTCTTCATTCTCTCTCTCATAGACACACACACACACACACACACACACACACAAACAGAGTATATATATATATATATATATACAAAAATATAATGGTCACCTTGCTTTAACTCTCAGAAGTAAGGGGGTTGCAAAACTGCCCTCAAAGTTGCAAAGTTGTTTGCAAAGCTCTCCAAGGGTCAGGGGCTTAATTTGAAGCTTGATTGAAATGAAACATGTCTTCATTGCATCACAAAACTGTTTTTTTTTCTCATTGTACCATTTCAATGAAACATCTAAACTATATGGGTAGTTGAGGAGAGATGTAGAATGTGGCCCTGATGATTACTAAAACCCTTTGCAAGTATGGAGGTTGGGGGTGCAGCAGACTCTGTCCTGTGATGCCTAGCACCATTGCAAGATAGGGAACATCTCCACAGTCAGAGCTTTTGACAAACATTGCAGGTCTCAGAATGATTTCAGGCTAAGCTGATCCACTATGGTCCTGAACCCATCCAGCAACATATGCCAGATGGCTTGGCTAGAATGTCCATATGCATTGATGGTCTTCCAACATGGGCAACGCTGTCAAGCCCTTCAAATAATCTTGCTTGAACACACTTTGGTCAGCTTTGGCAGAAAAGGATATGAGAAGTCTCCTCTCATTATAGAATCTGGAAGCAACTGAAGTCACCTGAATTGTTTCATGAAGGCAAAGCAGATGGCCTTTTCCAATCAATGAATCTTGCTGTCCCCATTGCCCAAACCACAATGCAAAAGCAAACCTATCTATTTACAGACCTCATAAAAACCACCCTTGTAGAAATGGAGAGTGATTTGTTCAGTATGAATTTATATATGCAATCACAAATTTAGTGTTACAGCGCTATCCATACTTTTCTGAATGATGTAATATAATTCTTTTTTAAACAAAGTCTCCAAGTTTAATTCATCAGATGACTCACATCTATTTCCATGAACTTTTATTTCCAATTTTCATGGCACCCTTCAAGTATTCAGGGTAGCTTGCAGATTCTTAGTGGTGTGTCATCCAAATGCAAACTTGATCGGCCAAGGACTGCTAGATTCTGCCATTTTCTATAACACTAACAAAAATATGGCTCAAAATATGTCTGAACGAAAATTGTTTGTATAACTAGTGGAAATTTCCACCGACCACCTTCCAAAACAATCTAATTTCAAATCAATGCTTTGCCATGGAGCTACTTAGAGAAGTGGAATATGTGTAACAATACATGGTAACATAAAGCCTTGGAACTGAAAAAGTAGCTAAATTTAAGTCCTGGCTTAAACTAAAGCCTTATTTGTCAACAAGATATGATGGCTTAATTTAAAGGTATTTTAGATGTGCCAGATGGCAGTAGTGACACCTTGGCATTAGAAGCATTTGGAACAATGAACACGGACATTCACTGAGATATCAAAGCTTACATCTGCCTTTCTCTCTTCATACAGTCATAAAATTATAGCATCAACATTTTGAAAGTGTTGGACTTTTGAAGCAGAACAAATTGAATTGTGCAGGTGATAAATTCAGAATTAGAGGTCCTGTTTGGACTCATATGCAGTGTGAATCTGTGGGTAAGAGGAATTCTGTCCTTTGATATCATATTAACAAATGTTGATTATGCTTACATAATTTATTGTGCTGATTCATTCCCATAACACAGACAACAGAAAGCCCATCACTCTGTAATACATTATGTTGATTGGTTTTGTTGGCAGATGTGAGGGAACATCATTGCTCATTACAGAGTGGCCTTAATTGGCTTTCCTCTGAATTACATATACTATATTCTCTTAATCTGCACATACAGAGGGTACTTAAATTCAAAATCTCTGAATTATTGTTTAATTATTAACATTGTTCAGACCACTGCTTGCTCTGGCATTGAATTATGAGCCCCTTAAAAATCCTTCAAGAGAAATACTGTAACAGACATAAAGGTCATAGCAGATACAGTCAATGCAATCAGAATCTTTCTTTTGACATCTAATCTAGAGCCAACTACAAAAGCTATTTGCGATCACACACTTTTATGTAACTATAATTTTCTAAGTATTTAAGTTGCAGAAGGAGATGGTTTCGTATTTATGCAGGCATACAGAGACACAGACACATCAGTGGTGGGATTCAATTTTTTTACTACCAGTTTTGTGGGTGTAGCTTGGTGGGTGTGGCATGGCTTGGTGGGCGTGGCAGGGGAAGGATACTATAAAAACTCCATTCCCTCCCACTCCAGGGGAGGGTTACTGCAAAATTCCCTCCTGATCAGCTGGGACTCAGGAGACAGAGAATAGATGGGGGCAGGGGCAATCAGAGGTGGTATTTATTGGTTCTCTGAACTACTCAAAATATCCACTACTGGTGTTCCAGTCCTGGTCAGAACCAGCTGAATACCACCTCTGACACATATACTCCCACACACACCATGATTCTTGGATTTGTTTAAAAGTCAATCTTTGCAGTGAAATCTCTCTGAGTCAAATCGATTGCATGGGATCCAGATATGGCAGCACAGAAAAGATAGTCCACCATCCACTGAGCAGCTACTTATACCATGATGTGCTTATTACTATGTGGGAAACCAAATGGTGAAACTATTTTCGTAGCTTCAATAAATGTTTAGATTTTTAGTTTGATGGGGATGCCTAATCAAGTTCTCACTATATAGTGGAATGTTGAAAACACCACATTTGTGCACTGCTACTCAAAAACTATACATACAGAATAATTGTCTAGTAAATGGATTATTTTTTCCTCTCCTTGATAGGAGACACACATTTAGGATGAGTGTTTTGTTCTGCTTGTTTAGGGGTAATGTGCCTACAAAAATATGCAATATTCTGTGCAGAGTACTTCCTCAAGCCACAAGTAATTAAAAAAAGCAACTGTATAGGGATACAAAGGTTATATATTGCAAATTGCAAAGAGTGAAGCAATCATATGTAACAGTCAAGAACCATAAAAAATAAGAGTAAGAGAAAGCAATAGATGATTATTTTAATCTTAAACTTACATTCTCAACAAAGATGTTTTCTTTTATTTCATAAGAGAACATAGCAAGCAGTACGGGGAAAGCATTCATTCTTGACCTTATAATTACAGTGTACGCAGGAGAATGCAGGGCATAATAACCAGCTAGTTTGAAGTATCCCTAGATTAACACCTCAAAACAAAATGATAAAGTACTGTACGTAGACAAATGAAATATTTAAAGAATCTGTAGATATAAATTAAGGATTTATCTAGAAGAAATAGATAGATAAATGGATAGAAAGTTGCTATAACTTTTCTTCTTATGACTCTTGGTTAAACAGTGGGAGGATGTTTTTTGTTTTTATATATAATAATCTCAGTGTGATTATTGTATGCACAAAGAGGGAAAGATTTGGCAAAGTTTACATCAGAGGAATTGGTGATAGAATTTCTTCAAATCACAAAATTAACCTGTTTTGATTAGGGAAAAAACAATATCTATGTTTATTGATGACTGGTAACATCTTACCAGTGACGTGCGATGAAGTTTATGGCTGGTGAGGAAGTCCTCTCCCCCGGCACCCCACTGGCAGCAGAGCTCAGGCGGGTGAACGGAAGCGCTTTAGTCAGTGGGGTGCTCAGGCATTCTCTCCTCTGCCCCCGGCACGCACCCCACTGATTAAAGCGCTTTCTTTGGACTGCGCTTTAGTGTGGTGCGTGCCAGGAGGAGAGGAGAGAGAACCACGTGCCTCATCTACATAAGGAATTTTTCGCCTTTTAACCCTTGCTTAACTCTGCTCAAGTGATCATAAAAATACACTAAATGAGACACGTGGTTCTCTCTCCTCTCCTCCTGGCACGCACCACACTAAAGCGCAGTCCAAAGAAAGCGCTTTAATCAGTGGGGTGCGTGCCG